GACAAATCAAGTTCATAATGCTATTCCGAGCTTGTTAGTTCCTAATGACATTGCAGGGTATGGTTCACGTGAGAGAATAAAAATACAAAATATATAATAAAATTGTAAATGGCGGTGTAATTTCGTTAAAGTAGCCAGACAAATCACGCAAGCTCGATCGTTATTCCAATACCCAAATAAAATTTGATCTCAGGACCTTCAATGCCTTAGCATTGAGAATGGAACGTTTGAGCACAAGATGACCATATATAGAGCTAATAAAGCTAGTTCCCGCTAACGTTTAATATGAAAAAAGTAAAAATAAATAAAACGTGAAGGCTAAAAATGGGGAAAAGGAAAAGAAGGGAAATAAAGTATAGGTAAAAATAACAGAACAAGAAGAAGAAGGAATGAGAAGGGGGACAATGAGACACGAGACATGAACCTTGAAGAGCCTTCATCAATTTCTTTTAGGTTTTTAATTTTTATTATGCATGGTTAAATTTCCCTTTTGTTAGAGGTAAACTGAACTACCTAAATTCTTGCTTTAATTTTGGATTTTTGTTCTGAATTTTATTCTCAATTTGAATGTTTATTATTGTATTGATTATTTTCATGAGTTTATGTTTAAATTGGAAAATTAGTATATATATATATATATATTGGAATAAATTATCTGGTATCCAATTGCCAGCAGGTGCCGATTAATCTGGATTTGAACCGGACAAAATCATAAATGCGACAAAGTTTTTCCTATCAAATTTTTAACATAATTATATATCCTGGACTCAAATTTGAAACCATTCACTATACTGGAATAACACGTGCTAAAGAATTGAGATTTGAATGAGTCAAGTTAATTATGCTCTTGTCAAATTATTTTCATGCCAAATAATTGAGTAAATTAATTTATAACAATAAGAGTTGTCAATTTAAGGGATTAAGAGATAGTCAAATAAGAATTATACTCTTCATTTGGGAATCAAATTTAGAATACAGAATAAATTCACAAGTAAGAGTGGGTAGTGATTTTGAACCTCTAACAATTTCCTGTGTTTGAATAATTTTCATTTAAGTAATTTTATAAGAATTTGAAATTTTGTATTGAGTCTTTCTTTTGATTTATTGTTTCTTTGGTAATATTAAGTTTTGGTTTGATTTAAAAAAACTCTACAACTTTGTTCGCTATCAAACAATAAAAAACTAATGCGTAGCGTTAGATAACAGTAATAATGGCTATAAAAACGATAATCTATAAATCACATTAATATGCGATTTGGTATACTTGCCCTTATCTTACTATATATATAAGCTGTTAGATAAAGTCAATAAAGTCATCAATTATTGTTCATAAATAACCAACATTCACTTAAAAGAGAGGATTCAATATGCGTTGGTTCCCACTAGGGAAAGAAGGACTTCGAATTGTAAACCTTGATTTGTGTCGAGGAATGAAATACGCATATATTTACGGAAACGGAATAATGGAACCATGTCCCCTTAATAATTGAGTTAAAAGTTATTAGAAGCAAATTATAACAGATAATGTGATTATGTTTATTCTAAGGAATAACATTCGTCTTTTTATTGCGATTCTCTTGAGCGTTTACCCTAATAAGCACAACTTGTATAGCAGTATCTATCCAGGATATAAAACGAAAGATCCTAGATACCTGGAACAATACAAATACCCAGAAACTTTTCTTTTGTGGAGAGGAATTGAACTGCTATTATCAAACTTGTGGAAGCTTCTAACTAAAATTTCTTTCTGCGTAGGATATTATTACATCAAACTTCAAATTAATGGCTCCTCACCTTAACAAACAAAAGGGAGTTAATTACTCTCATTGTTTAGGATGGTAATAATTAATTTTCTAGTATTTTTTACTAACTCTCTTTAAAGGTCAAGATGTTATGTGAAGATATATGAATTTTTTTATATTTTTAATATGTTCCTTAACGCAAAAACTCTTCAATCTCTAAAGCATAAATATTATACATGTCTATTATATATTGTGACGAAATTTAACTTTCTACTAAAAAAAATGATAAAAATCAAGCTCTTCATGACACATTCCCCAGTTTGCTAAAAAAATTGATCCTTATTTATCAATCACACACACACACAATATTGTCTAATCATAGACCCAATTCTCTTTTGATATATGTTCCCAAAAAAATCCATTTCCTGAAGATTCTTTCTATATTTAACGAAATTTTGGCAGAATTATCACGTATGAAATTGAGCACAATTTTGTAAAGATATAACTTGTTTTTTAAGAAGAGATAAAAAAACATCCTATTATCATTTGATTGAATATTGATGTATTACTTATTGTCTGAAAATATTATTTGATTTCATACCTAGCTTATTGTACGGAAGTTATATAAAATATATCATTTTGATTTCATACCCACCTTCTTATATATAAACCGTTGAACCAATTCCTCATTTTTTGAAATATCATTTGATTTTGTACCTAGCTCTTTGTACGGAAATCATGCTTTTTGTACGAAACCATTGACTCAACTTCTCTTTATTTGAAAATATCATTTGATTCTATACCTAACTCCTCGTACATAATCATTGACCCGACTCCTCATTTTTTGAAAATATTATTTGATTTTGTACCCAACATCTTGTACGAAAACAATGCTCTTTATATAGAAACTGTTGACCCGACTCGTTATTTTTAAAAAATGTTATTTGAAGGAAATTGTTGACTCGACTCCTCCTTGTTTGAAAATATCATTTGATTCCGTACCTAACTCTTTGTACGGAAATCATGCTTCTTGCACGAAACCATTGACTCAACTTCTCTTTGTTTGAAAATATCATTTGATTCCGTACCTAACTCCTTATACGGAACCATTGACCCGACTCCTCATTTTTTGAAAATATTATTTGATTTTGTACCTAGCTTCTTGTACGAAAACAATACTCCTTATACAGAAACTGTTGACCCGACTCCTTATTTTTGAAAATGTTATTTGAAGGAAATGTTGACTCGACTCCTCCTTGTTTGAAAATATCATTTGATTCCGTACCCAACTTTTTGTATGAAAACTGTTGACCCTAAAATATTATTTGATTCCATACGCAGCTCCTTGTACGAAAATGGTGCTCCTTAAACGGAAACTGTTGACCTAACTCCTTATTTTTTGAAAATATTATTTGATCGTCTATCCAACTCCTTATGCGAAAACAATGTTTCGTGTATGGAAACCTTTGACCCAACTCCTCTTTATTTGAAAAAATTATGTGATTCCGTACTTAGCTCTTTGTACGGAGATTGTTGACCCGACCCTATTTTTTTAATATATTATTTGATTTCGTACCTAGCTCTTTATACAAAAATAATACTCTTTGTAAGAATATAAAAAAAACAGGCTTCCGCGACAATTCATTTTTAGTACCCGCGATAGTTTTAACCGCCGCATGTACTAAACATGAAATGTCGCAGGATGTTTTTTTTTTTTTTTGTAGTAACTAGTTGACTCGTCTTGTTTTTATTCGAAAATATCATTTGATTCCATACCAACTTCTTGTACAAACAGAGTTGACCTTACGCTTTAACTTGAAAATATTATTTGATTTCATACGTACTTTTTTGTTCGAAAATATTTAATCCGATTTCTCGTTATTTGACAAAACTATTTGATTCCGTACCCAGATGCTTGTACTACGGAAATAATAAACCTAAATTTTTGTTATTTGAAAATATTATTTGATTTCGTACTCAACTTCTCTCCATGCACGTAATTTTCCTATGGTATTCTAGTTTGGTAATTTATTATACGTTAAATAATATCATTTATTACTCATTATTATTATTATTATTATTATTATTATTATTATTATTATTCAGATAAGAAATTATTAATTCCTTACGTTCAAGGTATTAAATTCTTATACTTTTCATTTGATAATTTATATTTTTTTCTTTGCATTGAGGACACAGAGTGGCTGTTAATAAATACTTTTTATATTTTTAACAATACAATTTGTTGCTTTAAATTGATCTAACAGAAACGCGTGATGAATGAAAGGGTTACTGAATTGTAAAACCAGAAAGATTAATTGCGCGCCAATTTGGAATGCATTTGAGGGAGTTCTTGAAAACTGTCATGATCAAACTAGCTAGTAGCTACCCAACAAAGAGAGACCATTTGCATGTTACGGCCCCAGTGCTCCGCTAGCTTGCATCTTGATTTGAGTATTAAAAAGAAAATGAAGAGATGGACCAAAAATTAAAAAAGAAATAAACTTTTTACATGGAATATTAATTAGAAAAATAACAGACCTGTCGTATAATTATATATGACCAAAGAAATTGCATCTATTTGTAGGTTCTATTTTAGTTTTGATTTTGTATTTATTTTTGTAAGATAATCGAATTTCAGAAAAACAATTTTTAATATTATATTATGGGGTGTAATTAAGTAGTAAAACTTGACAATAAAATTATAACAATAGTATTATTACATTATTATAGAAAGTAAGTATATTTTTAATGTTTTTGAGTCTCTTGATGATTGCTTATAGCTAATCTTCTTGCGCGAGTGAATAAAGAGGTGACGGTGCACTTATATGATGCTCAAGTCAATAAGAGTATGAATAATAGGATGTATATATAAAATTTTGGCATCTATATTTACATAGGAGAGGTGAATTGCCAAATAGTGCTCGAGTTCTCCAAAGGCATGAGATCTAGGCTTTATGAGTATTAGGGAAATTATTTAAAAGATAAATAAAAAAGTCTTAAAAAAAAAAAAAAAAAAAACATGTTACGTCAATTACCGAACTTGCATGTATTGTCTTTATTCGCGCATCAAACGAAAATTTTGTTCAAGTCGCATTTTTACACACTTTTGGATGATGATGCCATGTGGATGTCCCCACTTTCTTTTTATGAAATCTCCACCGTTCATGCTACCCTTCCTTCCTCTATTTATTGAATTCTCACTCCCTCTTTCATGTGTAACTTTCGTTCTTCTCGTGAGCCTTCATCCTAATCAACAACCTTCCTCTGCTAGAGTACTATACCCTCCCTCCCCTGTATTTTGCAACACACTACTCAGTACTCAGAACTCAGAACTTGAACTTCTTCTTTGGGATCAACACCAATGGCTTGCTTAGAGTTAGAGGTCTGCAAAGAGGTCAGTGTATTTACAAGTTCCATATATACATTATATATTAATATTCCTTATTAATTCTTAAAAACTTTAAAGTACTCATTCTTGCCATATATATATATATATATATATATATATATGCTTAGGAACCCTTTGTAGGTTTTGTCACTATATTCTGTTGATCATCAAGTGCATCTTTTGAGCATGCTAATTAATTACGCTTATCAACTATCCTGCCATTTTGTTTTGTGTTGAAAACTCTCTGCAGGGAAAATTCAAAGAAGAATCAGAAGAATTCACTCTTGATGGGAGTGTTGATTTGCATGGCCATCCTGCAATCAGAACCAAATCTGGAAGATGGGTTGCAGGAATTATCGTACTCTGTAAGCTGCAAAAACATAAATTTCGGAGCAATTCTATTTATTTTTTATTTTTTCTATACTTGCATTAAATCATATTTATTAAAACCTAAGCCTTCTTTAGTCTTTTTAATTTACCGTAGTTTTTGTCCCTATAAACAGGTAATGGAAATCATAGATAGCTACTTTTTCCTTTTCTTTTTTCCTAAAGAAATTTACTTTCTTCAGGGAGAATCCTATCGTCAGTTACTTCCAACAACAATTGAATCTCCATCGTTAGGTTTTGAAAACATAAAAATATACATGCAAATATACTATATATGATACGTATACGTATAGTTAATGATAGAGGTGACCGGTGGCAGTTCTTGGAGCCGTAGAAGTTTCAGGAACGTTGTTAAGAAGGGAACGTTCATCAATGATGCGGTTGTCTGTAGATAGATATTTAAGATAACTTATCAAGAGGAGTAAAAGGAACACGCGAAAACTTATAACAGTTTTAGATAAGAGAAAACGACAACTTATTAAATACAGGAACGTGTTCCATTTGAGTCAGCTTTGTTGCATGCCTAAGGGGAGTGTGCCAGGTAAGCTATAACCTAGTTACAGCTATGCCTTTGCTGGCTTAGCTTGTTCTTCCACCGTATAACTATTTATCTTTCTAGAGAGATCATAAACCTTTTGCTTTTGTTGAAATGAAACTTATAATAGAGAGAAAAAATATTACTAAAAAAAATAAAAAATAGAGAGGTAAAGAGAGATAGAGAAAGAGGGTAGAGATTCTGAATCTTGATAGAGGCTTTTGGCTGTGCCTTCACTATAAACGACATGAAGCCAGGAAGTGTGGTAACTTGGAAAAGACAGACTGAGGAAATTAAGCATGCATTTCAGAGAAATACGTGCCTGACACGTAATCAATAAAGGGAATTTGCATGACGTGGGTTGCTGACATCTGTCATGAAGCATATATATATATATATATATATATATATTAACCATGGAGTGCAAGAGAGTAAATTTATGTATTTAGTATTTACTGCATAGGAAAGGTGCATGATAGGTATGTATATCATACTTGCTAGTTGTTGCTGCTTAGTTGATAAATGCTGGCTGCTATAGTTCGTTCTGTAAGTAAGTAAAATTGGTATAGGTCACAACCCCACAATTATTTAGGATTCTCTTTAGGTTATTTCTAACTTCTATGTCGTGTGCGCTGAGTGCTGAGTGCTGAGATCAAGAGTGTGAACAAGTAATTTATGATTGCATGCAAGTGTAAAATATGTGATTGATTTGCAGGAAATGTTTGGGGCAAAATAAAATATCTTATCATGTTCTTTTTTGGGGGTTGGGCTTTAATTTACTAAAATAATCTAGTAATTCTCTAATGTCATCGCAAAAGAAAAACTCAAAATTATATAATTTATATGCTTCAAATTATATAGAGTAATATTTTTGTCGTGTGGGAAGGCATTCCTCGTTTACCACGTGTTGTTGTGGTTGCGTAAAGTCGTAGTTAATTAGATAATACCTGATGCGTAAACCATGCCAATTGAGATATTGTTGTTTGTGCGTGGAAATAAAAAGACCTCCCTCTCCTCCAATTGTTCAGAGTTACTAAGTTTTATATCTTGAATTTATGTAAAGAATTTTTTTGATATAAGATATTAATAAATTTAGATATATATATATATATATATATATATATATATATATATATATATATATATATATATAATTGTTTTGTATATGTAGAATTTATTTATATGCCTCAATTTTCCGTGACCAACTCCATATTTAAATATCTATATTTGGAGTTGTAAATCAAGAGAGAGAGAGAGAGAGAGAGAGAGAGAGAGAGAGAGAGAGAGAGACTAATCTACTAAAAAAACCCACAAAAAACACTATGCAAAAGTGTCTTCTAAAAGTAGGTTCATGAATCATGACATGAAAATCAATGATCAGTTTTAAAAAAAGAAGTTAAAATAAATTATTTAATTTAAAAAGATGATGTGTTTTCACAAATCCAGTCTTTCAAAGTGTTATCTCGACTGTGAAACCATTACTAATATGTGTGAGTATGCTTTATATAAAGGCAAAACCTAAAATACCTAACAAAACATTATAAAGTAAACTTGCTAATATATGTCATGTGTGCATATGTATGGTGGTGGTACATAATGCTTGTAATTGGCCATGCATACATAACATTTCATGATTTTTTTATAAAAATTCCTTTAATTATGCGTTGAATATGTCCACGCAAATTCATGTACTTCTATGCTATGCGGGCTTTCAGAAAAGAACTTTAGTAAATGATCTTAACTGAATTTGCTTCTTATAAAATGAAGTCTCTCGTTTTCGCGATATGTAATCATACACACAATCTCGGATACTGAGATAGATAGATACTAGTTCGTAATGCATATAGATATAGATGCATAATGATGCATGTGAGTGGTATTTAATTCAAGTGGTCCATAATATTAAGAACATGGTGCTAATGCTGCTTTTTCTGCAAATCATTGATTGGATTCATCAGTGAACCAAGGTCTGGCAACCCTTGCATTTTTTGGGATAGGAGTGAACCTGGTGCTCTTCCTGACAAGGGTGGTGGGACAAAATAATGCTGAAGCGGCTAACAATGTGAGCAAATGGACTGGAACTGTTTACATCTTCTCTCTTGTGGGTGCTTTCCTAAGTGATTCTTATTGGGGAAGATATAAAACTTGTGTTGTCTTTCAGGTCATCTTTGTAATAGTAAGTAATGCCTCTCAATTTTCTTTCTCTGATCTTTAAGTTCTAGCTGCTACATTCCTTGACTAATCAAGGAATCTTCTGGCTTGATATAACAGGGTCTAATGTCCTTGTCCCTGTCATCATATCTCTTCTTGATTAAACCTAAAGATTGTGGGAGTGTATCAATTCAATGTGGGAAACATTCAAGAATGGAGATGGGGATGTTCTACCTCTCAATCTATCTTATTGCCTTGGGAAATGGAGGTTACCAACCAAATATTGCCACATTTGGAGCTGACCAGTTTGATGAGGAGCACTCAAAGGAGGGTCGCTCAAAGGTGGCCTTCTTTAGCTACTTCTACCTAGCTTTGAACTTTGGGCAACTCTTCTCAAACACCGTTCTGGTCTATTTTGAGGATGAAGGAATGTGGGCTCTTGGTTTCTGGTTGTCTGCAGGCTTTGCCTTTGCTGCATTGATCTTGTTTCTTGTAGGCATCCCAAGGTATAGGCACTTCAAGCCCAGTGGCAACCCTCTCTCCAGGTTCTGCCAAGTCCTTGTCGCTGCATCAAGGAATTCAAGAGTTCAAATGTCATCAAATGGAGAGGACTTATATAACATGAATACAAAGGAGTCTTCCACCAATGTGAACAGAAAGATTCTTCACACTCACGGGTTCAAGTAAGTATTAGAAGCAGCTACTTTCAACTGAAACTACATATATATATATAGCTGAATGTTTTCATATGAATAGCTAAGGCTGCATGGAATGTTTTTCCTGTGTTTATGTGATCAATTTGCTGAGATAGTGGGATGGGTTACAAATTAAGTACAACAGATTTTTCAGTATTATTGGTCATTCTTGATTCTACTAGGCTACAACGATTTAATCAATCTGCCATATGTTACTGTATTGCAGGTTCTTGGATAGGGCAGCGTTTATATCTTCAAGGGATCTAGTGGACCAGAAAGGTGCCCTTCACAACCCCTGGCGTCTCTGTCCTGTAAGTCAAGTTGAAGAAGTGAAGTGCATACTAAGACTTCTTCCAATTTGGCTCTGCACCATAATATACTCGGTGGTTTTTACACAAATGGCTTCTCTTTTTGTGGAGCAAGGTGCAGCCATGAAAACCACAGTATCCCATTTCAAAATACCACCAGCTAGCATGTCTAGCTTTGATATCCTTAGTGTAGCCGTCTTCATTTTCTTTTATCGTCGAGTTCTTGATCCATTTGTGGGAAAACTCAAAAAGTCAGATTCTAAGGGACTTACTGAGCTTCAGAGAATGGGAGTTGGACTTGTCATAGCCATACTGGCAATGGTTTCAGCCGGAATAGTTGAATGCTATAGGCTTAAATATGCAAAACATGGATGCACCCACTGCAATGACACAAGCACTTTAAGCATCTTCTGGCAAATCCCTCAGTACGCATTTATAGGAGCTTCTGAGGTGTTTATGTACGTTGGCCAGTTAGAGTTTTTCAACGCTCAGACACCAGATGGCTTAAAGAGCTTTGGAAGTGCACTTTGTATGACATCCATTTCCCTTGGGAACTACGTGAGTAGCTTACTTGTTAGTATGGTTATGAAGATCTCCACCGAGGATCACATGCAAGGGTGGATCCCTGGAAACCTAAACAAAGGTCACCTAGATAGGTTTTACTTCCTCTTAGCTGCCTTGACATCGATAGACTTGATCGCCTATATTGCATGTGCAAAGTGGTACAAGCGTATACAGATGGAAGGGAAACGTGAAGAGTATGATGAGCCAGATAGCTTCAAAGTGTAATATACAAAGAATATCTTTCAAATGCAATGGTAACAGCATATATATATATATATTAATAAGAGAAAGGATGGAGCTTTGGTTATAGTTGCTATTGGAAGAAATCTTTTGCTGGTTTGCAGGAAGAGAAGCCCTTCTTACACGAGTCTCTGACTCTGTTACAACTGGACTCACTGATTTATGACACCTCCGGTTTTTCAGTTTATGTTCTTAAAGCCCATTTGTATAAAACTAAACTTATATGAGACAATGACTGTTTTAGGGTCCCTAGATGTCTCCATTCTTTCTCATTTGTAAGTTCCATTGCTAAATATCAAGTTAAATATGGTAGGCTTTTGGATTTCCAAGTATGCAATGGTTCCGACTATTAGCAGAACTTAGCTACCTTCTTCCCTCCCCAATGCTAACACAAGCATTTCTGTCCTTGATTTCTGGAACTTACAAACAAACACTGCAATCGTGAATAATCTACTAATTAAGGCACCAATTTCGAAAGACACCGAAATTCCTATGTATTTATTATAATTCAGCTTATTGACCCAATCAACCAAAGAAAATCCAAACTGGGCAGACCCAATGTCATTCCATCAGTGATATGGACTGACAAAGAGGACTGTGCAAGATCACTTACAAAGAAGAGCATATTAACTTTTATTGCTGGCAATAGATTTGACAGAATAAGTTCTGAATAAGATCACCACAAAAGATACAACATAAACGTGCAACATTTACAAAATGCACTTAAGGGTGCCAACAACTTCCATAGCATCAACACAACATAAAACCGAAAGATTTAATGTAGTAACTAGAGGAATTAACAAGCAATACTTATAGAATGTTTGGTCCACAGAATCAAATTTTGCATGATCAAAATGGTAATAGGTGGATATGGAATAACCATTCCTAATCCAAAGTATGGTTTTGTTAGCTATTCATTCAATTCCATCAAGTCCCACCCATCGTTGGTTGGTCATCATCTGGCACAAGTGATATATGCCTATTTGGTCTGTTTTCTCTTTCATCAAGTAGTATAAGGTAGAAATTAGTTTTTCTTCTTTCATTTTTCTTTTTCTTTTTTTGATATCTAAATGTCACCTTCTGTACGTGTAAAAAATTGGGAAAGGTAAAAAAGTTAAAACAGATGAAACAGATATACGTAAATTATAAAGGGTGGCCCTAGTGCATGAGACTCCCAACGGCCTGATGTGATGAGGGTTCAGGCAAAGAAAAATATCAAGATGACAAGTATGTTAAAAAACGTTTAGTCAAAAAAGAACTTCATGGAGGCTGTGGCAAATCCTTATCAATAAATCGCTATTTGCATTATGAAAATTCCTACAATATCCAACTTTGGTGTTTCACATGGATAACAGACACAACTATGATTCAAAGTAAGAGTAACTAGTTGTACACACACAAAATAAAAATAAAAATAAAAAACTATTGCACAATCTTAGGAAGAAAGACACTTCAAAAGAAGGATTTTATCCATGAACCTTACGAACTTGTATGTGGTGAGTAGATTCCTCACGCCAGATTGGTTGTGCTCCACTTTGAACAAGAGTAACATGCTGTTCCTCGTGTAAATGACCATTACTCTGAAGCATGGAGACATTTCAGCAACACTTAAAAGAAAATCCATCAAGAAAGGGAAGATGATTGCAAGTGATGGAGATATTACTCACCAATAGTAGCTTGAGGGCTCTAGAGAAAGTCTCCTCTGCATCATTTGAAAATTGCATGTATATGGGCATAACACCATGATAAAGTGCCAACTTCTGCTTAATCCTAGCCCTGGGAAGAGTGAAATCATATTATATGAAAATTAAGTTGTGGATGCAAAAAAACGTTGACTCAAGCAACTACACCACCCTCCAAAAATCACAGCCTAGGTTGGGTAGCCTGCAGAGCCCTATGCTTCACTTCTTTCTTCTTCTTCTTTTTCTCTATACGTGTGTCTCAGTAGGATGACCTCCAGCAACCCCTAAGATGCTTAGTAGAATAATATTATTTTTTAAAAAAGAGGGCCTCCATCTAAGATGGGATAAAATTTCATCTAGCAGGATTCCTGGAATTGAACCAGATTGATCAAAGAGGCACAAAAAACAAAATTCATGATAGCAGACTAAATTTGAAAAAAGAAAAAGAAAAATGCTTCCGAAAAGAATTATGCTTATTTAATTATACACAACAAATATGGCATGATAACTCTTAATTAGATAATCTGTACAGTACTTGAGAATGAGAACCAAGGATAGAGAGATGCTTGACTTTTCTCCAGATATCAAGCCCAGGAAATTTGCTACTTATTTTCAAAACCATAAACAAGTACTATTCCTCATGAAAAAATAGCAAGGACACAAGCAAGATCCAGGGGAAGTTCATCAGCAAAAGTTTATTTTTCTGCTTAGATGGATATGAGGTTTATATACTGCACCTAATCAAAACCAACGCAGAAAAATAAAATAAAATAAAACACACATACTGCTAATACTCACTCATTTGTGAATGCAAAGATTGTTGAGTAAGGCCTATAATGGCTCAAAATAATTGCCATGGATCCCGTTCTGGTGAAAACAATAATAGGAGTATTGAGAGTGTTGGACATAGTTGTCGCATGGAAAGCAAAAATTTCCCCCATATGGCTCTGTCAAAAAGCAAGCACAGATTAATTAGATTATACGATATTATCAATCAAATCTATAGCAATAAACTGTCTAAAACATACGAAACAAAACTCCAAAACTGCATAAGTTACAAGGAAACTTATTTTTGAATTAAATACGTACTTTATGGGAACTCAATTGATTTGGATAAGGAATACTACTTGGAATACTGGATTCAGTCCTTAGAGCCACCGCATGCATAACTTTAACAGCTTTCAATGGATATCTGAAGCAGTTGCAATCCTCTTAAAAATTTAAATAATTTAATTAAATAAAAAATATTGGAAAAGAAGTAATCAAATGCATAATTCATCAGCATAAGACACATAAGGTTCAACATATTTATACTACCAAGTTCATAAAAAAAATACTGAATGACATGCATCTTTAAATGGAAAGCAGTTCTATAGTAATTACAATAATCTAGATACATATAGAAGGCTGAAAATTAGGGTTTTGTAGCCAATATAGGACACGAACTAACTTTTATTATGAATGAATTTTTTTTCCTAAACATTTCACTTCAAAAAAAGATAAGTATGCTAATCATAAACCACCAAAAATCATTTTATTAATACAAATTATATAAAAAAAACACTAGGTAGTTTTCAAATATACTAAATCAAGGTAAATAATTCCTCAATGTGGTACATGCAGAGAGATTCCCAAGCTTTTCTTAGTTAACGTGTTCTTATTTTTGTATTTTTTGGTTAACCCTAACGGGATATCTTATCCACCATTCTTGTACTTCATTGATTCTCTTCTCTAATTATACTTTTTTTTTTTATCTAAAAAGAGGTAAATAGGATCTCTTCTGCATTAAAAATGGTAAAAATCAATATTAAAAAAAGTTTTGAGCTGCTAAAAACAAATAAAATTTAGGAACCAAGGTCACCAAGGAACAGGAAACTTACTTTCCATGTGCAGTTTCTCCTGAAAGCATGATAGCATCAGTGCCTTGTCTTACTGCAATTGCAATGTCTGAGACTTCTGCCCTTGTTGGTGTGGGATGATTAATCATACTTTCAAGCATATTTGTTGCCACAATAACTGGCTTTTGCATACTGTGACATCTTCTAATGATGTCCTCCTGTTTGATTAAAGATGGGCAATGAATTACATAGAACAATGAATTAAACATAGTCCCACTGCCTAAATTTCGGTGAAAAGAGAAATATAATCATTTGAGTGATATATGTAAGGAAAAAGGTGGTACAAGAAACAGCTCATTTATGCAACTACTTGATATGAGAGAACTATTAAAACAGACATTGGAAACATCCGTTTGAAAGCAATATATGTCATCATCTAAGAGTCCCACCATCTAGTTTGTGTAAATTGCTACACAGGTTTCTACATCTCACATTGCTTATTTGAAACTCTAAGCAACCTAAGACACCCAATGAACTCCTTCATAAACAAATTTATGGTTTTGAAATAAAAAAGCCACCTTTTACACACACACGCAGACAAATATTTGAATCTTGGGTTAAATTGGCTCTATCTCACCCTTTACGAACGGGTAAGATCATAGTTGAGAAAGGCCATAGTTGAGAGTTCACTGCTTTCTAGAACATCTTGACAGGATGCAGTGTAATTAAACAAGCACCAAGAGAAGGGCTTTCCTCAAAATTAATGCACATGACTAAAGATATCAATATGATCCTACGAAGTGAAATTCACAACAGCTAATGAAGTTGCTTTTATTTTATTATATTTTCCCAGTGGCACTAAACACTGCATCCCAAATTATATGTAGCAAAGAAATGATTATCAACAATTTGTAGATTATCTCAAGAAAGAACTTGTATACATCTCACCTACTTTGAACAAAACGGCACACATATCATGTTACTCTGAGCATAACATACCTGCAATAAAGGAACTTCCTCTATTGGAAGTTCAGCTCCAAGGTCCCCACGAGCAACCATGGCCTACAGGATAAATGAAACTCTCAAAATGACATGTGATGCTACATACAGATGAAGATCATACTTTGATCCATAATATTGCATAACTTTCAATGACTTTCTCCAAAATATAGATTATGAGGATGTTGGAAAACCTATCAGCAGGTTCATACCAGTTCAGAGTAAACCTAAAGGTATATGTTATCAAGTCAACAGGAATTCACTAAAAAGTATGCAAGTATGCATAGAAAATCCGATTGTCTTAGGGTATCTTTAAGGTTAACTATGAATCAACATCAACATCAACAACACCTTTATCCCAAATTAATTGAGGTCGGTGGTAGATGAACCCAAATGAAAGATACAAAAAGGTTGAAAAAAAGAAACATAAAAGTAAAAATAAAAATAAATAAATAGAATAGTAATAATATATATATATATATATATATATATATATATATATATATATATAAATAAAAGTAAAAAAGAAAGGGAAAAGAAGAAGAGGGGGAAATGAAGGGGAAAAGGACTAAAAAGAGACCATCTGGAACATAGGAATAACAACGGGTCTAACCCTCCACCATGCTTATAGCTTTTCTCCATTCTGTTCTAAGGCATACCGTCCGCCAATCTATATTCCACTCCATTAAATTTTGTTTTACTACCTTCCCCCGAGTAAGTTTAGGTCTACCTCTACCTCTTATTGTGTTGAGCTCTTGGTAACAAACTTCTGTTCTTACGGGAGCATCCAGGGGCCTTCTCATTACGTGCCCAAACCACCTCAATATATGTTCTCTCATCTTCTCAGCCACCGGTAGTACTCCTACCTTTCGTAGGAGTACTATGAATATTAAAGGATAAATCACGTCAGTATACTTTCCAAAACTTAATAGAACAATCTACATTATACCTAGTTAGTTGGTATTTTGATATTGTAAATCAAGAAAAAAATTATCAACCAATAGTGCAGAAACAAAAAAAGCACCAAAAAACCAAATTTGGTCCATTATTTGACCTGAAATTAGGTAAACAGTGTGATAAGAACCTTGGGATGCACCACCCCAAAAGTTAGCTCAAAGGGTGAGAGTGCTCAAGGCCTTATAAACCCAACATTAGTTGCCCAAACAACCAATGTAGATCTTCAAGTCTCATATCTTGCAAATGGGATCATAACATTTCACCACACTCTGCAGCCCTGGTGCCCATGCAGCTGGTTTTGCGCTAGTCTTTTACTATCCCCGGACGAAAACTGCAATACCGGTGTCACTACCCGCACTGCTCGATTGCAACCGAGAGACATAGTGGAAGGCTCTGATACCATTCAATAAGAACCTTGGGATGCACCACCCCAGAAGCTAGTTCAAAGGATGGGAGTGCCCTAGGCCTTATAAACCCCACATTTGTTGCCCATATAACCAATATAGGACTTCAAGTCCCATACCTTGCAAATGAGATCGTAACATAGTGCATATGCTATTATCAGAAAATCACATCCTTCACATGGTTGCATGAAATGGGTACCTATGTTAAGAAAGATAGCGATCATAATCTAGAAGTGCACCCTGATATAATGCAGAAAAGATATCATGTAACTTCTACTCAATCCATCATTAGCTCAAAATGCAACTATGTTCCGCTTAATCCCATGCAGAATATGAGACACACATCTTGTCGAGATTTTGAAGAATAAATTTCACAGCCTGATCAAATTATTGTGAAAAACAGCAAACTCAATACTTGAATTTGTGATTATACAAGGATTAAAGAGAACTTTTATAATCTCTCTTGCAGAATCAGTGATAAGATTAACTTGAAATGTTAAATTATTTAGTTCCTTTTTCAGGTACTATTTTCACAGGAAGCATAAGCAATGCAATTATAGAACTGTTATTGTAAACATCTGTTCCTCCCTGAAATCAATTCCGGAATACTAACGAAACCATAAACAAACAAACAAATGAAAATATATAGGCCAAAAAATAAATGATCAACAACATAATATAAATTTCAATGCTTTTTAACTTGAATGTATTAAAGATATGTAATATCCAACATACATAATCTGAACAGTAAGAAACTAACCCCATCTGAAGCTGAAAGTATCGAATGTAGATTTAGTATGGAATCCGCACTTTCAATTTTTACAATCACGTGTATATCAGCATTGTGACCTATAGAACAGGTTTACAATAATTTATTCATAAAAGAAGCAATAAACCCCAAGAAAGAAGAAACATACACACATAGTTGCACACCGAGAAACACAAGCATAGAAAGGAAATTGGACAGCTACAAAAATTACTTTTGAGATAGTCTTTTAACTCATGAACCACTCTAGCGTCCTTGACAAATGAGACAGCATAGAAGTCCACTTGATTGTCCACCCCAAACTTGATATCTTCCCAATCCTTGTCTGTGAAGAAACATATGGCAAAGGAGCATAAAATTGACAAGTGCATTTGCATACTACGAATATCTATACAATTGTAGAAACACAATGCCTGTGAGATGTGTCAACGATGAATATAACAGAATCATACCAGTTATGGAAGGAAGTGTTGCACTTTTTCCACGGACATTTAAATGACGCCTGGATTTCAGTTCTCCACCATCAATCACTTCACATTTAACCAAGTCTTTTGTTTTTGACTTAATGGCAAGAGACATCATTCCTCCTAAAATAACAATCAGAAGAGATTAAAATCATCTTTACAGATAATCAAAGTCGGTGGTTATGTCATGCAACAATTTAAGAAATCCCTCTAAAATATTGTGACTTAAAAATATATTATTAAAATAGCAGGATTATCTTACTGGTAGTTTCTGCAAGGTTAGCAATCAAACTAAGACAATAAATGACTAAACTTTCACCTAGTCAAGCAAGATGGCAATCACGGAATTTGCAGCACAACTGCGAGCACAAATGACAAGGTCAACACAAATATAGTAAGCTTTCCCACAACAACACGACTCCAGAAAAGCTTATCCTAAAAATGGTCAACTACATCCCAATTGAATCATGAATGTAAACATCAGCCCATTTTTCAAAAATATCTGAATCACATATAAAAAAAAAAAAGTAAAACAGGATTTGGGCAGGAAAAAAATACTCGTCAGAGGTTCAGTAATATAAATTCAATAGTAACATCTATGATTTTCTGAATAAAAAGTTAAAAAATATATATATATATATATATATATATATATATATATATATATATATTTATCATGTAAATTGTTCCAGATTTAAACCTAAGAAATTTTATTAGCACAGTTGACAGTAAGTTAATAACAGCATTCCTGACAAGCACAATTCGAGGTCCATTTCAACTCACACAAAAGGCTACCATACTTACCATCAACAAGTAGTACGTCTCCAACATCCACATCATTCACAAAATCATCATAATTAACACTAACTGTGTCTCCTGAGCTGACCCCTCTCCTAATGGTGAAATTGAATTCTTGTCCCTCTTTGAGTAAAATTGGTTGAGGCACATCCCCACTTCTAACTTCAGGACCCTGCGCAAGAAAGTCAGTTTAATGCATCAATTCTAACTTCAAAACTAAATACAAGTTACATAATAACACTCGGAAATTGAGCATAAAATGCGTTAGGAAGGTATAGAAGAAGGAATTAACCTTGGTGTCAAGCATGATAGCGATAACCTTGTCTTCAAATTGAGCATTGTATTGTTTAACCAAATCAATAGTTTTCTGGTGTGATGCATGGTCCCCATGTGACATATTTAAACGTGCCACATTCATTCCCGTTTCAGCTAGTTTCCAAATCATTTCACGTGAACTAGTAGACGGACCAATTGTACATACAATCTTAGTTTTCCTAACTGCATCTGAATCTGCCCCTTCCTTCCCCACAACATAGTTTCTAGACTGCGGATCAAACGAAGAGTTAGGTTAGAGATTGCAATAGGTAACATAATGAATTTACAGAGAGAAAAGTGAAGGGAAGAGTATAATTTTCCTAGTAACATTTAATTGGCATTGGAGAACCATTAATTAATAATGAGAAAATTACTAATATTGTTTTTTTCTCGTTTGCGGAAAAAAGGAAAACAGAGAAAGTTAGTTACAAGAGTGGGAGAGCCGTTGGAGGAGGTAGTTTGGGATCCATGGCTATGGGTGTGGTCGGAGATGGTGGCAGTGACAGTGGCGGGTAAGGGTGGAATGTATTTCCTTCGGGGGTTAGAGTGAAATGGAAGGTCAGACACATATTTGGAAGAAGAAAGATCAGAATTTAAGAGAGAGAATGAGATGGTGGAAGAAAGATGAATGGTTGTTGCCATGGCAGTGATGATTGACGAAAAGATACAAAGCTTGAGACAGAGAAAGAGACAAGTTACAAGGTAAACGAGAAGGAGAGAGCATCCAATTGGCGCAGAAGCAGTTGGGACTAAAACCATCTACCACGTGCCACAAAATTACCCTGTCACCGTTTATTTATTTATTTTTAGAGAAATATTTGTCTCATTGGAGATTTTTATGTTATACATCCATTAAATTTTACGCCAATTTTTATTTTTTTATTAAATAATAGACTCCACATATTTATTTGACCCACGGAAGAGTACCATTTCACTTAACATGAAATTAATAATTTCCTTATTTTTATCGTGTAACTAATATGTTGGGTTTAGACTTTTTTTTTTTGAAAAGCAAACATGAAACAGAAAAACAAAAAAAGAAACTAGGAACACCTCCTAGACCAAACTACTCCTACATAGTCCCTTTCAAGTTTGTCACGACAACCAGAAGGAGGCGAGTCAAACTCTTGTAAAGACCAATCAAAGGAGTAGGCAAAAGAGGCCATCCAATCGGCAACCCCATTCCCTTTCCTATGAATATGGGAAATTCTAACCCTCCAATTCCAATCCAGCATATTCCTTATGCGCAAGACCAAGTTAGAGGCTGGATGATGAGAGCTGCACCCTTCTCTTATGAAAAACTGGGCTACTAAGGAATCACCTTCAAGCCAGACAAAACGGAAACCTTTCCTCCATGCAATCTCAAGCCCAAGGAGACAACCCCAAAGTTCTGCTAACAAAACATTACCACAGCCAAGATTTTTACAAAAGCCAACAAGCCACCTTCCACTAGCATTCCTAAATACACCCCCACAAGCAGAAGCTTCTCCATTATTCATACTTGACCCATCCACATTGAGCTTAACCCAAGGGTCCGAAGGAAAAACCCAAGAAACTAATTTCTCTTTATTCGAGTTAGTCTCAAGACCAGCAACCCGAAGCGTGTATTCTGACCAAGAAAAATCTTCACCATAGACCATAGCAGCTCTAAAAGTGCCATAAGCAGGAACAGAAGATCCCTGAAAAATTTTCTTATTCCTAGCTTGCCAAATGAAACAGGAAATGATACCAAACAGAAGAGGCCATGATGGCAAATTGGACCAATTACGATCCTCAGAGATATTGGACAACACCCATTGCTGAAGATTAAGAGAGAAAAAATCCTCCCAAGCCTCTCGCTTAACTGCAATCTCCCACACTTTTTTTGCTGCAATACAATCTCTAACCGCATGTAAGGAAGTTTCCGTAAAACAATTGCACAGATGACATATATCTGAACCCGCCATGTGCCGTCTGCAACGCCTTTCATTTGTCAAAATTTTATCTCCTAACAACAGCCAAAGGAACGTACGAATCCGTTCAGGTCCATGCCACTGCCAAACGCGATTCCAAGGTAAATTGGTAGATTCCTCGTTACCCCTGGATATGGCCATATAAGCGGACTTCAGCGAAAAACTCCCATCAGATGTCCTTGTCCACAAAATTCGGTCATGACCATTAACATCCGAAGGAGGAAGGATGTTATTAATACGAGCATTGACGTGATCGGGAAGACTATGCTGGAAAGCCCCCCACATCCAACTTCCGGAGGATGAGACAAGATCAGAGACCATTAGCTGATGATTTATCTGAGAGGGATCAGAAATAGCAGCATAGGATGAGAGTGCACCACAACCCGGAACCCACGGGTCATCCCAAAAATGAGTAGAATTTCCATTACCTAGCAAAATTCTGGAATGCTGTAATATCACAGGCCAAGACGAAACAATTGCTTTCCAAAGAGAGGAGCTATTCCGAGTAGCAGAAATATTAGGAACCAAATCAGACTGAACTTTATACTTGCTCTTTAAAACTCTAGCCCAAAGCGCGTCTGGATTAGAAAGGATCCCATAACCAATTTTCATAATAAAAGCCCTGTTAACTTCCTTCATTTTCCTCAGACCCAGCCCTCCATGATCTTTATCCATGCACAACTGATCCCACGCAACCAGATGAGGACGAGTAGATGCTCTATTAGAACCCCACAAAAACCTCCTAATATGTTTCTCAATATCATTGCAGATTCCGAGAGGAACAACAGAAACTTGCATTGTGTAGGCTGGAATAGCTGAGAGAACAGCTTTCGAAAGTGTAATTCTTCCTGCTAGAGAAAGACTGGTGTGGTTCCAGGCATTAATCCTAGATTGAACTCGATCGAGGATATGACTGAAAGCCGCCCTCCCAACTCTGCGATGATGAAGAGGAATACCCAAATACTTTCCAAGATCCACCGTCCTTGAGAAGCCCAACTCACCACTAAGTTCCTCTGCCAAAATATGATTCACATTGTGGGAGAAGAGAATTTTTGTTTTTTCATGGTTAACCTTTTGCCCAGAAGAAAGACAAAAATCATCTAGCACCTTGGAAATGGTTTGGGCCTGATCAAAGGATGCATCCGCACAAAGAATAAGATCATCCGCAAAAAAGAGGTGAGAAATGGGAGGAGCATTTCTCCTCAACATCGGCTTCCAGCACTTTTGCCTAACTGCATGGGAAATGAGATGACCAAGTCGCTCCATACAAAGAATAAATAAATATGGGGACAAAGGGTCACCCTGTCTAAGCCCCCTGGATGGGAAAAACTCCTGAGTTGTAGAACCATTCCAAAGAACATTCATCGAACAAGACGAAACACACCACATAACAAGATTAATGAGATTTGGGGGGAGTCCCACATCCTGAAGAGTATCTCGGAGAAAGTCCCAGCTAATTCTGTCATAAGCTTTCTCCAGATCCACCTTAATCATCATCCAACCTTTGGCGCCTTTTTTTGACCTCATAGAGTGAATAATTTCCTGAGCAATAATTACATTATCTGTCCCTTGCCTTCCTTTGATGAAACTACACTGGTTAGGCATAACAATTTTATCCATCTGCAATTTCAAACGGTTAGCAATAAGCTTAGTAATAGTCTTATAAATAACATTACAAAGGCTAATAGGCCGGAAATCTTTAAGGGATTGAGGTGAAGTTATCTTCGGGATCAGGCAAATAAGAGTTTGATTAATATCCCGAACTTTTTGGGGATTATTAAACACATCTTTCACCAGATCACAAACAGAGCTTCCTACAGTATCCCATTGAGATTGGAAAAATAGACTATGAAGACCGTCCACCCCTGGAGCTTTGTGAGGTCCCATGGAAAAAACTGTACTCCTAATCTCCTCATTCGAAGGAATGCTACCAATATGAATGTTGTGCTCTTGCACAAGGTGAGGAAAATAGCCTCTAATTGGAAGCCCAGGTCTAGCAGTATTATCCTCTTTAAACAAATTACGATAATACTCCACCGCCATATTCATCAGAATAGAGGGATCACCAATCCAATCACCAGCATCATTTTTCAGAGCATCAATACGATTTCTCCTCCTCCTAGCAGCTGTAGTAGAATGGAAGAATTTCGTATTCCGGTCACCATATTTCAACCAGCTAGCCCTAGACCGCTGAAACCAAGTAAGATCCTCCCGAATATAAATGAGATTCAACTGACGCCAAAGATCTTTCTGCAGAATTTCTAGAGCATGGCAAGGATGGTGACTAAGACTACGGTCAATACCCCTTAGTCTCGCCTGAAGATTATTCTTAAGCTTGGCATCTTCCCTAAAGCACTCCCTATGCCAGTGAGAAGCATTCGATCGAAAAGTTTCACTAGCTGTGCCCCAACCTGTACTCCCATTCCAACACTCCTGCACTAGGCCAGGGAAATCCTCATGAGTGAGCCAGGCTGCCAGAAATCTAAATGGACGGCTCCCTCCAGGATGGTGAGGAGAAGGACCCTCCCAGAGAAGAAGAGGTCTATGATCCGAGCAGTAGCAGGGAAGATGAGTCACAACCCTGTCAGGAAAGGACAATTGCCATTGCTCATTCGCACAAACTCTATCAAGACGTTCCTTCAATCTGCCTCTATGCCAAGTGAAAGTAGGCCCTTGATGACCCAAGTCTTCCAGATTGCAGTTCATAATACAATTTTGGAAATCATAAATACTCCTCCAATCAGGCGGGCCACCTCCCTCCTTTTCTGCTGCATGCAAATAAGAATTGAAATCTCCCAAAATGCACCAAGCCTCCGAGGATTGCTGTTGTAACCTTCCTAGAGCATCCCACAGAGACACCCTCTCAAGACGCCGCGGACTGGCATAAACAAAAGTAACAGCTTCCTCATTCCTTCTATTACGCCAAAAAAATTTTAAATGGATAAACTGACGATGAGACTCTAAAATCTGAATCTGAGCTTCATTATCATTCCATAACACCCACAGGCCACCAGAAAAACCTTGAGGATGAGCCATAACATGCTTTTGAAAGCCAAAGCCTTTCACCACCTTCTGAGCACGGTCAGCTCCGATACGAGTTTCAAGCAAAGCCATAACTTGAATATTAAAACGACGAGACAAGTCCCTAATAAGGGGAGAAAAACCCTTTTTTCCAGCCCCCCTGCAATTCCAAACACACACACTCATCAAAAAACCACAAAAAATAATGAGAAAGGATGAAAACACCCTGTCATTAGACTTTGGGGAGATCAAAACTATCCCGCATCACCGAGGGTACATCAGCAGGTCTCAAACTAGCATTCGAAGCCTCAACATCCTTCGAGCTGGAAAGAGTAACCGGACTCTTGTTGTCATGCGTTATTATGGAAATATCAACCCCATCCTCCCTTTTACCGGAATCTGAGGGAGTTACCACATGTGGAGGAGATGATGTAGAAGAGAGAACAAGAGGCTTTTTGCCATTAATGTCCATTGCTGAAATTTAAAGTGATACTTTTCATCTCTAATTATCAACTATATTATAATTCAGAGATGAAAGTTTGATAATGTGTCACTTCCTCTTTCAATATATACTTTCTTTTTATACTTAATTCACTAACTTTTCAAATTCAAATTTTAAATTTGATAAGTGAGAGAAGAGTTTAGTATTTTTTGCTGGCAAACAGCTATATTTATATCTCATTATTTTCTGTATAGGTAATTGTTAAGTCTATTAATAATATTACTATTTTTTGTATAGAAAATTATTAAGCCTGTTAATAATTTTGTATCATTTATTCTTTCCTTCGACGAAACTATTTTATTTAAATTTTATACTCTACAATAAAAAATTGATATATATATATATATATATATGTATAAGAAAAATATTTTTCAAGCAGCTTAAAATATATTTATCTCCATTCACCCAAAAATTACGTCATTTTATTTATTTATTTCCTTATATTAATTGATTCACTTTTGAATGATTGTGATTTCATTTTTCTCTATTCCGTTATCAACATTGATCCATTTTTGTATGGTTATAATTTAATAGACAGAGATAAAGTTATCTCAAGCAACTTGAGAAACAATAAGCCCTATATATCTATGTTTTAGTTTTTTATTGTCTCTTAATCTCTTTTAACTCTTCATGGATTTTAAGACTTGTTTTAGTTTGAAGACTTGAATTTTCTAGTGGTTTATAATTTTGTATGGCTTTATTTTGATATAGCTATTGATTTGTATGGCTAAAATTTTAGGCTTTTCGAAAAATCAAAAATCAATCCAATACAAACCGAGTAAAATTTGATCGGATTTTAAAATAATCTAAAATGAACGAACGATTAAATTATCAAACTGAAGAGATTGAATCAGATGATACATTTTGTTTCAAAATCAATTTAATCCAGACCGCAAACATCCCTAATATTAAGAGAGGGTATTGATGAAAAAACCATAAGTAATTAAAAAAACAAACACAAGAATATAAGTGATTCAAAACAATATCACTTAGGGAGCGTTTGGTTCAAGTATTCTCATAAGATACTGAGGCAATCCTAAGTAGCATTTTTTCTTTTCCATGTTTGGTTTAAGTTATTTAAAAATTTAACAAGCAAATTTGAATGCCCATCCTTCATCAATTGTGAGCAAAAATGGCTAACAAACACAAAGTAGAAATGCTACTTCTAATCTGGTATTGTTAGAAGGATGAAGAAATGGATAAAACAAAATATAGATTTACAAAACTTTAATCAATTTATTCATAATATTTCGTCCAATCAAATAAGTTTTTTCCAACTTTATCAACAAACTCACTTTCTCACAATTTTTTTAATAATTCTATTTTATGTGATAAAAAAATTTCTCTCGAGCAAACACCCATAAAGATTTTTAAACTTTTCTCTACAAATTTCATACGAGAAGTTGATGTGAAATCTGACCATAAGATAATCTGTTACCCTGTACTCGCAAGAAACCACATAAGGGGTTATGTGTCAAGTTCAGAACCCTTCTCTTTCTTCCCTGCAAAAAAGTGTGGCCCAAATACAACCCGTTCTCATCATCTCTCTCTGTTTGGTATGGTGGTTCTCGTTCTGCTTCACGCTTCCTTCTAGTTCCAACATCACAACAATATGAAGCTGTCCCTCAAATTTCAGGGTCACGATGAAGATCAACACAACATCCAAATCATGACCGCAAAGGTACCCATTACTATATTCACCAATCCCTTTGTTTCTGGCATCACTGCCACCAACACAACTAACTCCACTTCTGATTTTTCTTTCTCACTTTCAACTAATTTCCCATCGGGTCCAACCTTGAAGCTTTCTTACTCTCCCACTTCCTCTCTTCCTTTCTCTCTCTCTCTTAAATCTGGTTTGGGCATCTTCGGTTCCGCTCGCAATTCTCCTCTCGTCTTCTCTGCCACTTTCCCTCTTTCCCAAACCCCACACCCATCTTTCTTTCTACACTTCAAACCCCATCTCGGTCACTTCTCTCTCAACAAAACTGTCTTCTCTGATCCAAACACTGACCACCTTTCTGTTTCTGCCTCGCCTTCACCTGATTACACTGAAATCAGAAAGGGTTTTGATGGTGTGGCTGATGATGGGTCTTCATCGGGTTGGCAGGAATTGAAATTGGAGCCTTGTGGTGACAGTGACCATAACTATATGGTTGGTAAGAACGATGCAAAATGTGGTCTTTCGCCTAGTGTTGCGGTTATGGCTCGGACGGTAATGCCAGTGACCAAAGGGGTGTTCTTGAATTTGCGGTGGGGTGTGAATTTTCCCGGGAATTTGGGATTGAAAATGCCGTATTTGACCGTGAACAAGATCGGGTTAGAGAGGGTTGAGGAAGTGAAACAGAATAATAAGCTGAGCGAGGACACTTCTGAGAGCGATTTGCATACGTTGAAGGGTATGTGCTTTTGGATGAGAAAAGACTTGGAGATTGTGGAAAAGGAAAATAGGGAAATGAAGCGAGCGTTGGATGAGATTAAAATGGGAGTCTCGACAAGGAATCATCATCATGAGGGGAGTGATGGTGTTGTTGGAAAGAGATTATCTCAGCGTTCGGATGAAAGCACTGGCGAGTTTCAGCGTTGGAGAAGTAACAAGAGTGGCAGAGAAGAGAATGAGAAAAAACAACCAAACAAGTCCCAAAGTCTAGTGAGTGATGTGGAATCTGAATTGCAGAAAGCCATAAAGGCTGCTACTTCCTCTTAGCAAGGTCAATGTCATTACCACTTTATTAATGCTTTCTAAGTTTGTCTGCCTTGCAATGTATATAAAATTTCAGCTTCTGTTTCTTATTTGAAGTTAAGAGTAATTGATTGGTGACACTTCTATGTAGTAATTGGAGGATTGAGGATATCAGTAGTAACTGTGTACCAGTTGATTAAGTGTAATCAGATCATTTGTGTGGTTGACAAAGGATGGGAAAAATGTTGTTATTTGTGTAGTTATACTGAGCCTTGAAGCTGCATTCTGTATTTTTGCAACTTACATGGATATTTAACTTTGTAGGACTAGGTGATACTTAGTTAATGTTAAAGATATAATATATAAAACTATTAATATGGCACTCACTCAAAAAGTTTAAGCTTTTACAAGTTGGAGTTCGATCTCATATGTCCAATCCAATTGTTACGTGGTAATTGAAATTGTATCTGACATGACGCCTTATTAGTGTTTGAATCACCTATGTTTGCTTTTATTTTTATTAACTCACTGAGGAACTTGATTGAAATAAAATTGTGTCGTTGCAAATCATATTTTGTTTTGTTGGCAAAAGTCTTTTCTGAGCTAGTCTTACTGCTAAAGCATGTGGTAAAGAAGTAATAATCTTTAAGCTTTGACCACCAAATATTAACAATGTGTTTGGTGAAGCATGCTATATCCTCACCCCGATTCGGACTTAGGCTTCTGGGAGTCCTATACCATCTTCTACTTTTCTCTCCTGCCTCTCCGCACCTCCCAAAATGCTTGACAATTCCATTTTCTTGAAGTTGGGAGCTTAAAATACTTGAATTGCTGTTTCCTTTGATAATCTGTTTGGTGTAATAGCAATTTGGTAGAAAGCAATTGATAGTATTTTCATTATCCAAGCATTCGAGTACCGTGCTTTGAATTTTGATAATCTGTTTAGTGTAATTGCCATTTGGGAGCAAGAAATTGAAAGTATTATTCTTATCTTTTTTTTTTGAACAAGCTTATTATTCTTTATCTAAGCATTTGGGTGTTTACCGGGCTTTCAATTAGCAAAATTTACTTTTTAAATGGGAAATTATCCTTTTCCTATAATAAAGTAGGAGTTCCACCACCAATTTCAAGTGGTAAGAAGTTTATTTGCAAAGTAGAGGATGGAGAAATCCAAAGAATAGTGGTTACACCATGTTCTTTTTATGGAGAAAAAAATTAGGTGGATAAGTTGTTTCTCAACCAAATAATTAACCAAATAATTAAGAGAAAAATGTTTATCCTTTTAAATGACATAATTTATATCTTTTCACTCTCATGAAGAGGTGAGATTCACACCTTTATATTTTTTTGTCCATTCTCTCTCCTCTTTTATCTATTTTTTTTTCTAACTTAAAATGACACAACTTTACTTTTAAAATGATACACACTTTTTTCAATAATTAAACTTAAAATTTTTGTGTTGACGCATTTCACTATGTTAATTGTGCGAACTTTGACGACAGAAGTATATAGGCTCTTTGACCAATGGCTGGTTTTGGAAATTTTTAATGTATTAATTTGATATTTGATTTCTGATATTTTTCAATAAGGGTCGTTTAGTGTCATGGGGCCTTCCGCGACACTAAGTGTCGCCCCCCTTCCTCGCGACAGAGACACGAATGTCTTCGGAAGGCCGTAATTTTTGACTTAGGTATCTAAATCAGATGATTTTTATTTTATTTTACATAACTTTTCGAGATCTCCGCAATGACACTTCATTTTTGTTCCAACTTTTTTTTTGTTTTGTTTTCTTCATAAAAACAAATTTTGAAATTAATTATTGTCTCGCAGAGGTGCTGCTGCAATTCTAACAGATAGAAATTCAATTAATTAAAATCTCAACAAACTTGATTTGAAAATCGAGGAAGCTAAACAAATCAAGGGTTTCTACCTCTTCACGCCAAAATTTGAATCTAAACGCTATTGTGATTGTGAAGCTATTGTTGCAAATTTGAACTATATTTATGGAAGATTAAATATGTCAAATGAGGTGTCATTGCGTAGATCTCAAAAATTTATATGAAATAAAAAAAAAAAGTATCTAATTAGGATACCCGAGTCATAAGTTACAGTCTTCCGAAATTTTACGATAACGAGACTAACAAGATTGTGCCACTTTAAATTAGATAAAACTGTCATTTTAATATATGTTTGATGATTTTTATGTTCTCTCTTTTTCATAAAATTAAGGAAAGAGAGAAAATGGAGAAAAGAGAAGGCAAATAATACCAATTATATATTAAAATAATATTATTTTATATAAAATGATAAAAAATATTTCCCCCATAAAATTATATCAAAATTAGGACCCAGAAGCTTGGTATCCCGATTGAGGAATATAATAAAAGAGAAATATTCTTACTAACAAAAAAATTCATTACTAACTCATTACTTATCTAATCATTATTGGATTAAAGAGAAAGAATATTGAAAAAAAATTGAAGATAGAGAAAATGCTGATTCAATGATGATTAAATAGGTAACGAGTTAGTAGTGAATTTTTTTGGTAATAAAAATATCTACCCTCATATAATAATAGTTAATAAAGATTAAAATACAAAGAATCCCAATTTCATAATTTTATTTTATGTCATGAATAGAATGGGCCTATAGTGAACCTACCATATACCCAATTGTCGAAAGGGCAGAGTTGATTTCTGAATTCTAAGTCCGACCCGTTCCTCTATTTTTGTGAAGTGAACCTCCATGCAACCCTAATCTCTATTTTTCTATAAATTGTCACGAGCTTCATCCTCCTCCTTCGCAAAATCGCATCGCAGGTTCTTGTTCATATGGTAGGGTTGTGTTTGAGGGATGATTCGTAGAAAAATTAAGAGAGCTAAGTCTGTTCTTTACAAATCCTCTTGTCAGTCTTATTTTGTTTTTGGGAAATAATTTTCTTTTCATCTTTCAGTCGCCTTTGTTTTTGTTTTAGATTTAAGGTGTTGGGATTTTAAAAGTCAAGCAAATTTTTCCGAGTTTTTTTTTTCTCATTCGAAATCGATCACGTAATGGGCATGTGATGAATCTTATAGTAACAAATGGGTAATTTGCGTCTGAATTCATTTCATTGATGCTATATCACGTTGGAAACCTGATGCCCTTGTCCTTATTTCATTGTTTCCTTTTGCTAGTGATTTTTCTTTTTTCTTGGGGGTCATATTTCTCTGCATTAACCTTATTTGTGTTTTGATGATTTCTATCAACTAGAGTTATGTTTTTCTGTTTTCCTTATAATTAAGTATTGTATTATGGAGTTGATGAAGTGCGATTATTCGGTTTTGCAGCATAATTTTTAAGCCCCATATGGGTTTTGTGCTGTAATATATTGAAGCAATTTAGAGCTTCTAATGTGTTAAATATTTGAGTATTTTACAAGTATAAGCAAGTACTGTACTACTATGCCTTAATTTGTCAGATGATTAAGGCCATTTTTTATTGCAGAAATACGTATTATAGATAATTATAATACTCTTCATAGCAGGTAATAAACCATCTACAATACACATAGCAACTAACAACTAAGCGTTAATAAACCTACAATTCCTCCTAACTTCTCCTTCATTTCCTGTAAGAACATTGATGTTTCCCATCTTAATCATAGATTTAGCAAATGAAGCAAAAAAAAGTTTTTCGTTGGAGGCATAACCCCACACCTGCTCTGTGATCTTTCCATCGAAGTCCTGGCTGATCAAAACATTATCAGAACCCAACAAGCCCTTTCCTTCGAGTATGTTTATGAAGTAGTGGTTATCAAACCTTTTTGGGGTTCGAAAATCCAATGGTGCAAATTTGTTGTCCCTTCCAGTAACAGGGCATATGGACTGTAGGATTCTTCTGAAGCTTGTGTACCGCTTGTAGCGATCATAGCCATAGTAATATTCCTGTTTTGCTTCATAAATCCTCTGCTTGAAGCTTAGACACCTTGCCCTTCCTATGGAATGGCTACCTTTTTTTTTTTTTAAGTAGGAACAATACATGATTAGGTACTTCATTTCCCCCCTTATTTTCTGGTGCCCTGAAATCTTAATTCAACTGTATGAATCAATAATGAACATACCTGATAGAGCTACCAAGTCTTCTATGTCGAGGCCTTGTTGCTTAAAATTATCAATGAGAACCTCTAAAGAGGAATTTGGAGCTGGGATGAATAAGTTGGCTCCGCTGAAACTTGACTCCAAAGAGTCCTTCCTCCCCATCAAAACATCCCATCTTGGTCCTCCTCTCTTCAAAACAAACAATAGTAGTTGTTGCAAACATAAATTGAATTAACATTTAAGATTAAGAGTGTAATTTAAACTAGTGAAAAACAATCCGGGATCATATGTATAATCATGACCCTTTAAAACAATGTATGTAGGAATCCAATTGAACTGGATGCTAGCTAGAGGTGGTGCAAGGAAAAAGACTAAAGAGAAAAGCTGAGGTGTGTACCAGTTCAACAGCATCACGAGCAACCATGGCAAGTATGTCAGCACATGAAACAGTGAAAGGACATTCTTCTTCCAGCAAATACTTGATTTTGTCTATGACCTCGAATCCACGTAGAGAGTTCAGATTTGGTCCTGCTTGCTTTTCACTTGTCATGCCTTCAACGCTATCCAAAAGTACCGATGCATCACACCCCTGATTTCCAACAATACAAGAGAAATAAAAATTTCAACAAACAAACAAACAATGAATCATGGAAAAATTGAAAACCATTACTCAGCGACATAACAAAGGAACAAGTCTAGAATAAGAAAACAAATGCACTTATGGTTACCATGACAAAACAATCATGGAAGTGTAAGCGAAGTAGCGAGGCTGCCAAACGAGGATCTTTGAAAACTGCTACCTCCACGTTATGTCTCACGATGTCTTCAGCCATGGGACACTTGTCATTGTAGTAGTCATAAACAAGAAGTTCACCACCGCTCAGAGTTAGAGTTTTGAACACAATAGTGATCAAGAGCGGTAAGAGTCTAATACGCTCCATTGAAGGAAATGAAGAACAAAGGTATAGGGGATGATGCTGTAGTCTTATGCTCAATGTGCGGAGACAGAGAGATCTGATAAAGATTTTTTCTTGTACCGTTTGTTGGTGTTTCTTTCTACATTTTCAAACCAACCTTGTGGTAGAGAATTTTCTCAGGTGCTTTGGTTTCACCAAGAGTTGATGCAACCAACTTGACCTATTGTTTTTTTAATTTAGTTTTGGATATAATTTCTTCCTTCTGGTACTGACTTTAGTAACAAATCAAATAAAGAAAAGGGAATTCCTGTAAACTATTACATAGCAGATCGATTCTGTAGTGAACATAAATTACTTCCCCATGTAACCATGTTATTGTTAATTAAATTTTATTTCCTGACAACAATAACAAAAATGATCCTATTTATACATCCATAACAGAGAACATATACGGATATACTAAGTTGTACATTTATGAACGAGCCTTCAAGGTTCAGATGTATACTTTCCCGAAAACTATACAAGTTATGTATATCAGAGTGTGAGGAGAGGAGAGTGAGTGTTCTGTGTATATAAATGTTATAATTTTCTTAGGAACTACGTATATATTCAGCGTCAATACTCAAGGCAAATACAAGGATTTCAAATCTTTATGGCGAGAACCACTTGATGCTGCGAAACTTATATGGATTAGTTTGGAATGGATTCTTTTAATATATAATGCAGTATGGAGGCATGTATAAGAGTTTTATAAATGATCTAATTTTTAAGATTGGGGAACAACAAATGGTAACAAGAACCAGACGTGCGAAAAAGTTTTCTGTAATACACTATGTATTATAGATATTACATAGTATAATTTTTGAAATTAACTCTATCTTTGTTTTTGATTTCAAAAGTTATACTATGTATTACTTGCAGTATAACTATAGATAATTTTTCTGCATTAATTGTATAAAAGTTAAACCCATATATATATATATATATATATATATATATATATATATATATATAGGAAGGTTATACTTACAACTTTTTTTTTTTACAACCTCTTACAACTATATCTTAACACTTTTGATTTCCGTCAATCAACGGTTATCATTTATTGTGAATTAATAATTAATTAATGAATCTAATTTGCGAAAATGATAACCGTTGATTGACGAAAATCAACAGTGTTAAGAAATGGTTGTAAGAGGTTGAAAAAAAAAAGTTGTAAATATATCCTTCAATATATATATATATATATATATATATATATATATATATATATAGGGTTAGGATCATTTTACACCAGTGTAAGTTACACTCTTAATCTTGTTCGCTGATCTCACTTATATCTAAGGGCTCAAATTTTTTAGTAATGTGAGCCATTGGATACAAGTGGATCAATGGTTAAGATTGAGTGTAAGACTTCTAACTCTTACACCGGTGTAAGAATATTCTGCCATATATATATATATATATATATATATATATATATATATATATATATATATATATATATATATAAGGTTTAGTGTAACATCCCCGTCTCGAGCCGGTTCAATTAACATACACATGATATAAACAGAAATAGCGGAAGACTTAACTTACGAAAATATGAGCTGACTTTTTCTTTTTCTAACTTAATTCTTACTCGGCGTAAACGAAAATCGGGCAGAGTTTCCTCTATAAATCGGACAAGTGGGGATTTTCCAATCCCACTCAGAAACATTTCCTGATAAACAGTTTATACAACATATCCATTCAGAAATATCAGGTATCCAAATATAATCAAATACCCATATATGGGCGCATGCATAACATGGCTCCGTACCACTATATCTAACAGCATGCCATCAAAACGTATACTTATCTGAATACTACATCATCATATAACGTGCATGAATACTCAAATGTACATGCATCAAACTGACAGACATATACAAAACCTATACAGGCCATATACAAAATAAAGGATCTAACATCATGATCCACAAAATACTGAAATACTAAATGAAAGCACTATACTCCAAAATAGAAGTAGCCTACAGCTATTCAAAATCCAATACGTCCAAAATCCTCAGCCACGGGTAGCGTCCCTGACTCGAGAGGTCTCACCGGGGATCTGGGCACCTGAAAATATGGCCCCAACGAGAGGTGAGATTACAAATCTCAATAAGCTCCAGGTTTATAGAGAATTCTCCATACCCCTGGCTCACTCCTGCATGAAAGTCAGATACAAAGTATACAAATACAACATATAACAGATATCATAACAGAACAGAGCATATATCCATATCATATCTGAGATGTGCGCCGTCATTCCCAAGGGAGGACCCCAAGCGGAAATCAACGCACGTGTTCCCGAGGGAGGACCCCAAAGCGGACATCAGGGTACTATACAATCAATGGCCAGAGATTATTACAGAAATCATCTTACAGAAGTCATATCAGAACAAAACATATCATGTTATCAAATAGCTCTATATGAATGCATCTATACAAAGCATCAAAACAGTCATACAATCCAACCACAGTTCACTAACTATGGTGGAGCACTCAAGTAGGAAAAGACTCCTTAAACATAGAGCTTACCTCTTGAAGCTTTATCAATCTGCTTACTTGTGACACAAGTTACTTTTATATCTTCAAGAGATTTTGATCCTTTTCAGTCCCTAGGTACACCTAGAGCAAGAATCCACAAATACAATTTAATAAAATGCCATCATGCCTAGCTTTCACATAAGGCATACATTTTATCGCGTCTTTTCGTTTCTTTATGTTTTTGCCAATGCTATGCCAATACACAAGTCTAGACCACCTTATACTCGTTAGGATTTCCTTAATTTAATCAAGTGTTCACTTAAGAATTTTCAACATAATTCATGCCATTTTCTCTAAAAGGCCGTGAACCTACCTTTAGGAACTCAATGTATTTTTCAACCCTTATTCAAGCCATTTCACTTCTTAACTCATCAATTTTATACAATACATTACAACACATTTTATTATGTAACATCCCAAGAGCTGGAAAGGGCAGGGAGTGATCGCCGGTGCGAAAGGGCACGGACAATGAGCGGCTCATGCCAAATCTTGCAGCTTGGGGGTTCATGAATGAATCGAATCAACACCCGAAAGAGAGGGATTCCATAGACTGTGCTGGTATGGGACGGTACAGTTAGGAATGACTTATAAGAATTAATTGGTACTTCCTATACTAACAAGATGCATCTACTTTTCGGTAGCCCGGATCGGAAGAACTCCACAGTTAAACGTGCTTGACTTGGAGCAATTCTGGGATGGGTGACCTCCCGGGAAGTTTTCCCGGGAAGTGTGCGAGTGAGGACAAAGCACGCTGAAAAGTCTCGTGTTAGTGTGTGGGGACAGTCGTTGATCCTTGCAAGTTGCCAAGCATTACAAGTGGTATCAGAGTAGGGCCTTTCTTCCAGTACGGTGTGGTTCGAGGACGAACCAGGCGGAAGCTGGTGGGCATGTAACATCCCAAGAGCTGGCAAGGGCAGGGAGTGATCGCCGGTGCGAAAGGGCCCAGATCGGAAGAACTCCACAGTTAAGTGTGCTTGACTTGGAGCAATTCTGGGATGGGTGACCTCCTGAGAAGTTTTCCCGGGAAGTGTGCGAGTGAGGACAAAGCACACTGAAAAGTCTCGTGTTAGTGTGTAGGGACAGTCATTGATTCTTGAAGTGGCCGGGCGTTACATTTAGTGAGTGTACAGTGACTGGATGTAAGATTTGGTCCAGTGCACTAAGTTCTCCTGCGAGAACACAATTATAGTAAATATTATAACTGTATTCTCCTGGGAGAACACCATTATAATATTTAGTGCACTAAGTTCTCGCGGGAGACTTAATGCACTGGACAATCTCGATCAATTCCTTTTTCAAATCCTGCCGCAGCTGCGCGGGCTCTTCCCGCGTGCCATGAAAAAAAAAGAAAAAAGTAAGATATAAAGAATAGTTTTTTTTTAGTGGGGAAAGATGGCTGAGTGGACTAAAGCGTCGGATTGCTAATCCGTTGTACGAATTTTTGTACCGAGGGTTCGATTCTACCTCCACGCGGCATTGCTCCGTCAGGCTTTCGCCCATTGCGGAAAATTCCCCACTGCTGCCTCCCGTAGGAGTTTCCTGATACTGTATTTGAAGCAGTTATTAGAATTCCTTATGATGTGCTCTATGGAAAAATGGTGGTTCAATTCTATGTTGTTTAATAGAGAATTAGAATACAGGTGTGGGTTAAGTGAATCGGCGGATAGTTTTGGTCCCCCTTAATTCAACTAGTTGTAAATGAACCATAACTATGTAGTCCTAGGCGATATTCACTGGGCCAAGAGCACCCCCTCGAGTAATAGCTTCTATAGCTTGTTGACCGAAACTAAAAAGTGTATCATGCCTGAATCTAACTGGGGTTCGCGGAACGAATTCACCGCCGTATGGCTGACCGGCGATTACTAGCGATTCGTACGGCTCGAGAAAATTACAAGTTATGTCTTTGTATCAATCAAATAGATCAACTGATTCACCCGATTTTTTTATAATTGAGCGATTTTTGAAGATCTATAAAAATATTTCTCATTTTTACAATGGATCCCTGAATTTTCATTTTTTTCATATATATATATATATATATATGAGTTAGGATCATTTTACACCAGTGTAAGTTACACTCTTAATCTTGTCCACTGATCCCATTTATATCTAAGGGCTCAAATTTTTTAGTAATGTGAGTCATTGGATACAAGTGGATCAATGGTCAAGATTGAGTGTAAGACTTCTAACTCTTACACTAGTGTAAGAATATCTTGCCCCTATATATATATATATATATATATATATATATATATATATATATATAAAGCAAATTGATAAGATGTAATTTGTAACGATCAGGCAAAAGCCAGCCAAAGTCATTTATGGTTGAAGTTCATCGTACAAATCAATAATGGCCAACAGAACGTGTCTAGTGTTACAGAAAAACGACCCCTACCTCAATGTTTATTCTCCAAAGATAAAATAAATGGGAGGCACAACCGATGAGGCCAAATTCAAATAATGGCTGTTTACTAGGGATGACAAAAAGATCCTATAGTAATCCTATTGTATGAGACTATATACAGTTTCCTGTTATAACTATTTCAATGGCTTCCAGTGTAACTGACTCGGATCCACATAATACTTGATATCCCAGTTAATCTCACAAAGGAGGCTTCGTTCAGAGCTAACTTGAGAGGAGTGCTCCTTGAATTTGACATCTTGAAGCTCAGTTTTAGAAAGAGGATACCAATTGTCTCTCACTGGCAACATGACTTCAAAGACAGCCCAGATTTTTACACCCTGCGGGAGAACAAAACCATGTTAACACATGCATGCATGCAAGCTAAATCATAATACTTACACGAACACACACACACCCTGTTACCAAGTGGTAATCTTCTCCGGGTAATTTTAGCTAATGCTGGATAGCAAATTCATTTTGTTACTTTTCCAGTTAACTATATGGTCCTTGTTTTGGACAAATCAGAATATTTTTCTTTATTAAGCATATAGAGATCGATCATTTTACTTGCATCCTCAGAGTTTGTACACATAATACTCAAAAATTGAGTCAAAACACATTAAATTAAGTGATCAATATTTATGAAAAAGCGTGTGTAATTATTTTTACCAGTATTTAATATGAATGTAGATGCCCATCTTCAATGTATTTTTAATATGATTATATTTCGCCATCTTCATCGAGGAAGATATCTGGGTGAACTGCTGCACTAGTGACATTTAGAGCTCTTTTTAGTTTGCGATGGTCAAATACTTCAACATCAACCAAGAAGATTGAACTAACAGGTCGATGATCTGAGAGCTTAATTTCTGCACGTCCATATTGAAGTTGCTTTATTCCTTTTCCTAACCACAATATACGATCACACCTGCATAATCTTACCCAGGTTCAACTACTGCATCTTACTATGCCTATTCATACTATAATATAATATAATATATGCATTAACAAAAATATTCATATACCATGCTGGAGATCTCTTCTTTTCACCTTCTTTTGGGTTTTCACCAACATATCTATCAGAATTAATTTCATACTTGTAAGTGGGTGGGAAGTTTATCAACCCCTCTTTCCATCCATCAAATACATGCCCAATACGCAATTCTTTGCTTAGCTACAAATCAGGTGAAGCAATTAGAAATTATGAATAAAAAAAATTAAATTAAAAATTAAATGATCAACAACAACAACAACAACTAAGTTTTATCTCACTAGGACTCCACATGTTTTGAAAGGTTGGGTTTTTTTTAAGTCTCACCTGATCATTATTCATCAGTTCATCCCACATTTTTAGACCCACCAATTTTCGAACCTCCTCATCTACCATATTGATACGATAATTCAAATCCCCAAACCAGAAGATCTTACTGTTAGCAAGAAACAACCCATCAATGAACCCAGAAGCTGTAAGGAAAACTTTGCATATAAAATTGAAAAAGGAAAATTTTCTTCATATAATATATATAATAAAGCTTACTCATGAGATGGGATTGTTTGTGGTTGATCTGAGTCAAAAACAGATGAGAAACAAGTGCGTCTTAGAATTTCATGAACATCAGAGTTTCTCCTCTGTTCATCCTTCTGACCAGAAGTCAGATGAGAACAAACAAAGCACAGACGAGACTGAAAGAGAGACATACTAATTGAAACAGATCCCTGTATCAGTGAGAATGTGTTATTATTATCACATCAAACTCATGTCAAAATGAGCAAGTTACATCTCTATGTGCACACCACTACATGTAAAATGCTCATAAAAGCTACAAAATGTTATAATTAGCCATCATAAAATACATAATAGACTTTGCTAACGCATGCATCACATTCACATGCCATTCTAGTAATTAATGCTTAAATGTTTAACAATGGAAGTGAAATTCCTCATCTCATTGAATGTTATGTCTGCCATAACATAATGATGTCACATTCAGTGTGAAACATGATATCTTACCTTGTTTCCCATGTAGCCCATAAGACCAACTCCAACTGGGGAAACTTTCAAACTATTAATGTGCCTTCTCAACCTTCTCTGCACCCAAACAGATACATATATCCCTACCATCTGCTTGCTGACAATCCGAACATACTTTCGACATGATTTCGTGTTGCCTAATCCATTATCATCTTCGTTACTAGGTAATTCAATAAAAGTATCATCATCCTCAGTGGATAACACATTAGAGACATCATCAGCTAAGGAATCAACCACTTCAGGTATCACTTGCTGTTCTTTCCATAACGAACCTAAATCTCCAGAACTGTGGTGTGAACGTTTCATTCCTCGACCATATACCAAAGCATTTTCAGTCCTGTTAAAGCCAATTCTGGCTGAACTGCTTAGTACTCTCCGCAACTTCGAATTCGAATCAACAATCTGGGAGATTGCATCTAATGGACGTTCAGGCCAATCAAGATCAATGCCATATATTCTCTTGAACTGTAAATTATTCCCTGTATCAATTATGTTCTTTAATTCCTGCTGTTCCACCTCATGGTTTTCAACAGTTCCTCCTATAGCTATTGGATTAGCATCTATGTTGTCTGCTAAAAGATCAGCAGCAGAAGAAGTTCTTAACACTGGAGAAGGAGGGGCACTGTAACTTTTGTATATACTTTCAGGCTCAGAAGATTTGTTTAGTGATCTTCGAATGATTGCCTCCCATTTTCGGATAGGTGAATTATCCTCTGCTCCAAAAACGTTTCCAGCGTTCAGTGGAACTACCTCCTGGAAACTGGGAATGGTAGAGAGTTAATATAGAAGCCAACAATTACAAAGCCTCTATCTATCAGAAGACCATACTATGGATAATATATACATTATAGTATTATACAATGGTTAATAAATGGCATACACTTTACATAAATCAACCACTAAAAAGGTACTAGGAAAATGAATGTAAAGCCTTGATAAGATGATGATTAGTATATACAGGAAACTTATAACTAACTTTGTTATTAAATCTGTGTAACCTATCAGGTTATAATGAAATTTAGTCCATCTGATCTGAGTGATTAAAAAAAAAAATTTGATTATATTTCAGAAGCAAACATATAGGACACAAATATCATCAAAGTACAAATTGGTGAAGGCACAAAGCATAAAGACAAAGTAGAAATTATAAAGTATCGGCAACTTCAGAAACTACTCACCCAAGAATGTAAATATCTGCTGGCTCTTCAGTACAAAGCCAGTCATCAATCTCGAGATCCTCGCATGGAACTCTTCCAGCAACATTCCAAGTGCCAATTGTTACCCTGAAAAATAACAAAATTTTAGATGCATTTCATTGATATGATATGTCATGCTGCATAACTAGATTACTATCAGACCTCACTTCCTTCGTATTTATGTACTGAGCACGCAGAGTTTCTGATTTTCCTCTTCTGTGTCTTATCTTGTAGCCCTTATAAGATGCATCTGAATCAAAAATATCAAATCAACTCTGAACTAATTAGGTGGAAAAAAAATTAATCATTTGAGTTCACAAAATTAACCAAGCTGGTTTGACTTAAAAGTTTCTTTGACTTCATATTATTCTTCGTTAGGTGTAGCACATTATATATGCTTTAGACTACCATTCGTTTCTACCTCGAAACTTTTTCAGCTCATAGTTCCATCAGAAACATCAAAAAGTTATGTTTTAAAACTGGAAATTATAGAAAAAACACTAGATTGCTGAAAAGGAATGAAGTATCATTACCTGATGTGTGACTTGGGAATCTGGATTGGATCCCTTGTGTTCTAAATGGATTATCTTCACGCAGGCCCAGTTTTGAATCTTTAGGAGAGCAAGCTGGATGAAAATTGAAAGAACAAAAACGAAAAAAAAAAAAAAATTGAAAAAAGAAACAAAACAATCAAGCTAAACAAGAAAAAAGAATGTAGTAAAACCCAAAGCATACCATCATCTTCACTCTCAGTTTCAGTATCCACTTCATCTTCACTAAAATCATTCGCCTTAGGCTTGATGTTTAGCCATTTTTTCATCACAATGGAAGGCCAAAAGGCCTGCAATAAAATGAAATGAGAAAGTCTGCAAGTAATGTACCAACCAAAGTCAAAGGTAAGTTTTCAAAGCATACCTCGGAGCGTTTTTCTCTCTTTGCCTTCATTGTTTTGTTTCAGGTCAAAAGACTACAACAGAACCCAAAAACACTTGCGTATTATGCTAGACTTTCAAAGCACTAGTTATTAAATATGGAATCAGCCACTGACATTTGTTTGGTGCTATTTGGCGCTTAATATTTAAATAAGACGTTATCTCAGATAGTAACAGTACAAAAATATGGGAGAAGGAAGATCCCTGCAAGGACAAAGTAGACAAGGACAAAAAATGTGTGAACATATCAGCAACACATCCACAACCACAACTTGCAGAAGGAAAACAATACTACTGGTCCTCACACCCACGTCTCAATTTTTCTGATAATAATAAAACACCAAAAGGAAGTCCAACATAACCCATATGTCATTTTCATATATAGCAATTTCTAATAATAATATAAATCATGAAGTAGGAAATACAAGTAGCAGAAAATTGTCATATTTAATAAAGCAACAAGTTAAAACAATAATATCTACTAGAACTGCAGATTTACCATTGCCCCAAATGCAGAAGCCAATACACATTAGCAGACACCAAACAAAGTGATGAAGGCTACCAATAAAAAAAAGAAAGGATATATATAACTAAAGCGTGAAATCACAGCCAAGATGTACCAATGACCCCACAATTGAAAAGATGTGTGTAACAAGGAACAACCTTATTATTAAAATAAACAGAAAACTTGACACATAGATTACAAGTAGAGAGTAAACTAAACTAAGGTTTCATCAAGTAAGGGACAGCTGTAGACCCATTATAAGGCGGTCGACCTTATTCTATCTCTCTCTCTCTCTCTGCAGAAGAAGAAGAAGAAGAAGACAGAACACATTGACCCACAAACTGAAAGATGAGAGAGGCCATAGATGTAGGTCCAGCGCACTAGCACTATATGTAAAGATAAGAATTATGATTTTGCCACTGTTAAATCATATATTCATGGATATATCCATTTTTTTTTTATGTTGGTGTAGCAACTATTATAATTATGTATTTATAATGAAAGTTTTTTTCTCTATTAAGATGTTATTTATTAATGTAGAAAGAAAGAAAAAATAATTTTATGATTATAACTATGTATTTTCAATAATAGATCGTTATAAGGGAAAAATATTTCTGCAGTTAATGCAGATAAGTTATCTGCATTTATTTCCAAAACGACGTCGTTTTGATATTGAAATCTTAAAAATTTATAAATATAAAGACTATTATAACCCTGAAATAAATTAAAATTACAAAAACATCATGATTTCTGCCCCAAAACGACGTCGTATTGGCTTATTGCAGATAAGTTATCTGCAGTAACTGCAGAAAAACGAACCTAGTTATAATCGATTGTTATAATTTTATTTTTTTTATACCAACATAAAAGGTATATTTCCCCACATTTCTATGTTGTAATCCATTTTATGTCGACTCAAATGAAAATTGTGTTTAGGATTTTATAATAGTTATGTTATAAGAAAAGTGATTGTGTCATGTTTATTTTTCGTGTCTTATTTTTTTTTTATTTAAAAAATGCAGACCCTACAAAATATTTTTTATGTAAGAAATTTTACCATGTCATGTTAACGGAGAAACGAAAACGTCGTTTGTTTAAACTTTGAACTTTGACTTAATAGAAAAGATTAAATAATATTAAAAACTTTTCATGACCGTGTGGAAACGTAAAGAGTAGATCTAATCTAACCATTGGGACTTGAAGGGAAGCTGTGTGACACACTCATTAATTAAATAATTAAATAATTGAGAATGATGTGACTTTATTGAAGTCAGTGACTAATAAGAGAATCTAGTGCAAATGGTTTACCAGCGTCGGCCTCACTTGGTCTTCTCTTCCGATGACAAATTGACAATTGTTTACGTCTCTCAAAACGGATCGCGATTTTAAGGAACTATTTTCATTAGAAAAAAAAAAAAAAGCAAAATGAGTTGTATCACAAAAACATGTTAGTGAGAGCAACAATATTTTAATTAAAGATGTAAATATATATACCCGGTGGGACTAGACTTTGTTTTAAAGAAGTTTAGGTCTGGTCTGATTTGTTAGTATTGTATAGACAAATTATAAGTCTGTTTGACTTATATTTAAAAAAAACAAAAACAAAAGTCATGATCTAAGAAGTTTGTTAGTCTATTTAAGTTTACTAAACATTTAATAGTGAAAAAAATAATTAAAATAATATATTATATTATTCAAAATTATAAAAATAATAATTGATTTATTTTATTTAAAATAAATAATATGTAATAAGCTGACCTGTAGTCCTGTAGGCTTATAAGTCCGACATGTAAAAGAAAACATATACCCTACTTTATATATAGGATTTTTTTTTATGTCTGAGTCTGTTCTATTTGACTATATGTAACAGACCGAGTCAGACTTAATGTAAGTCAAGCCGAAGGTTTCTGTTAGACCGTCTTACTCATTTACACTCCTAATTTTAATTGAAGGAACATTTTTTTAACACCTTCCATTTTTCATCACCTTCTATTATTGAGTAAAATTTTATAAGAATTCTACTAAGTAATTTAATACAATCATCCATATGAAATTTTATTTAATACAAAAAGATAGTAAACAAAGAACGCCGAAATATTACTACCAATATTTCTTGTTGAAGATAACATTTTAATGACCATGTGATATTAAATTAATTTTTTTTATGGAAGTGTAAACATTTTTTTTTTATCTGCCGAAATAAAGTGGTCTTGTTATCTCTTCTGAAAAAAAAAAAAGTGTTTAACGACTCTGATATTGTAAGGGATAATTTTATTTCCTAGATATACTTAAAACTTAAAAGTGTGTAGGTCCTATTTTTTTTATCTTTTTTCTCTTCACATGATCTTATATGGAATCCACGTACTTTTATATATATATATAAAACAATTTTATATTATACGTAAGAAACATCGCACCCAAATATTAATGTTATTCCACTATCATGTCCTTTATTTGGAACATTCATCCTCATGGAGTTGTCTAGTAATCTTGTCTCTGTCATCAGACACACAACTTGCAACAGAGAATTCGATGATGAATTCAATTCCATCAAATCAAAGTTCTATCAAATCAAAGTTTAATAAGAATTTCATAAGAATCCAACATTAATGGCAGCAAGCAGCACACATGCAAGATATTAAATATGCCATTGCTACTGAATAAGCAGCTGTCAACAGCATCTTCAGCTGCGAGGTTAAGTTCTTGACAACCCTAGTTAGTGGTTCTTTATGTCTATATTCTTTTCGAAGAATGCAAAAAAAATGTTTTCTCAAATTATTATTATAACACAAATAATTTTATTATATGTCTTAACACTTTCTCGTTTAAATGTAAATGTATTTATTTATGTATAAAAAAAATTGTTATTTCCATTATTAAAATAATTCATAAGTTCAGATATTTATAATATATGTGTTAAAGTCAACGACCTGAATAGGTTTTAGTCACACGCAAATCAAATCATATATATATCCATCCATCAAAGAGGAATCGAGAATTGGAGGATGATATATTAAGGTTTCGTTTCGATGAACTTTTGAAAAAAAAAAAAAGTATACCTTATTTATTTAAAAAAAAGTATCTAAAAAATCTAGTTTGATTTTCAGAATATTTTCAATTATATATTTCAAAATTCATTAGTGAAAATTTTATAGAATCTCTAATAATTTATGGTCTGTTTGTATCATTAGTACTCTTATTTGCAAATTCATCTGTTTAATCTTAAGAAATAAAAATACATACTCTTTTTTCCATGGTCTTACTCACTCCTATAACTAATTATTCGTTTGGACAAGAACACTGGAGAAGGACTGATCGATTTAACTGTGAGAAATTAGCATATTGATTGGCCTTGTTTCTTCCCCCTTTTTTAAGATTAAGAAAGTCTTTAGAAAATGTTAAAAACAATTAGGAATTTTTGAGTTAATCTAATTAACATTTTATTTTATTCTTGGATTTTTTATTTATTTATTCAATGTTCAGTCTTTCACCTTTTTTATATTTTATTAAACTAATACTATTTTGATTTTTGAATACCATAATTGCTATCATTTTCACCTCCCAAATCAAATAAGTAAAGATCTTTCGTCTTATGGGTGGACGAGGACAATTCGAACTTGTGATATGTGATGTTATTGGACAATAAATAACACACACATTGGCATTTAGCATCTTAATTGTCTATATAAGCACAGTATCCATGATTGAATAAGGACTTCATTCAACATCTGCTTTGACATTGTGGTGGCTTCACTTTTCTTCTATCTTTGTCGCCATTCTTATATTGCTGGCTTCCATCACAACGATTAGACCCGCAGCCAAAATAGAACATCGATCAAATGAAAAGAAACTTGAAAATTAAATTCAAGTATTCAACTACAAATATCACACATTTATATATATTGATAACCGGCCAAGCCCAAATTAATAGTCCATAAAATACTCTGTTGAAAATGAAACCTGATGCGATTTCTTTGATTCAATGAATAGATTCAATTAGAGTTTTCTTCATGCTAACACTAATTATTAATTTTTAATTAGGGTATAATCATATATAACTAGCTATTACTTATCAGTATAAAAATTCAATAATTCTTCTACATATAATTTCAATTTTTTATATGAAAGACGAAAGTCACATATAATCCGTTAAATAATTAAACTATTTTTTTTAAATAAAAAATACTTATTGGTGATCTATGTTAATATATTTTTTTATTAATTTTGAAAAAAAGTTATATAATCCACTTTTTCCATTTTACTTATTCTTTTATGATTATTGTCACCAAAATCTCACTTTTTTGTATTTTTAATAAAGGAGTACATATTTCTATAGGCACTTGGTACTTGAAAAAGTCAACTCCTTTTAAATACTAACATATCCTACCATCTATGTATGAGAAAAAGTTTGAACTCCCAACAAAACCTCTACTAAACATGGTATTTCTCGACTCATAATCAATTAAACAATTAACACAACTAAAAACTTCCACTTTAAAGTTGGACTTGTTTTTCTTTAGAATTTAATTTATATAAATGTTAGTGTAAAAAAAGTGTATTATCATTTAAAGATGTATTATCACATTTTTTAATCAATT